GGAGTCAGACCGTGTGAGCTGTGCTGACCTGACCTGACCTACCGCCTTGGCCGTGCTTTAGACCAGAGCTGGTCTCTGAGCTGCCCCGTTGTGCGTGACCAGTCGAAGTGACACTCCGCGAAACTGTGTCCAAGGTGCGTAGACTCGTGCTTTCGCTTTATGAGGCGAAATGAATGATGGTCTGATGGTCTGGAGCGGGACCTAGTTTCGTACAACTTGCTCTGGTCCACAGTTCAGGTCCAGTGGTCCTTGCTTTTTCTACCTGACCTGCGGACCTGACCCCTGGATCTGATCTCGGAACCTGACCCCTTGACATGCCCGCTGACCTGCCGGCAGGCGCACGCTGTTGCCGCCGACGGCAGCCGTCGACAGCCCGGACCTGTTCGAGGGTGGCCGGCCCGTGCGGCCAATGTCCGTCTTCGAGGAGGAGTAGGCGCTAGCAGCGGTCGCGGCGGCGCCTCGCTGGGATGGCGTGGGCGGCACGGGCCGCCCTCTGCGGCCGAGGAGCGACCGCGACAGGACTCGCCGGCGGCCCGGCCCCGCCCGGGGACCGCCGAGGTCGCGCTCGGGGCACGTCCGCCATCCAGCGGCTGGGATCGGCCCGGCGCCTGGATGGCGTCGACCACGGCCGGCTTTCTGGGGTTGACCGTGGCCAGGCACCCGGGACCCGTCGGCGCAGGACTCCGACGGCGGCGGCGGCGGCGTCGGCCGAGTCAGCCGGACCTCGCCACGGTTGCGCGTGACCTTCGTGTGATGGAGGGGTCCGTTTCGGTGTCGCCATCTTGCTAGCTGTCATCTGTCCACTGCTGAGGTTATTCCGCCGGCTAATTGTATGACCCGCGGTGGAGCTCTCCACTCGTCTTCCGCATCTTCTTTCCGAATAGCTATCGCTTTCTGAGATGCGCGCGCCTCCCACTGGCACGCCCCGCGCGCGTGGCGCGAGTGGCGAGGGCGGCGCGCCGCTGGTGATGCCAGATAATGACACTAATGCAGGTGGCTAGGTGGTTCGTCAATAAACTATAGTTTCGTCGTGCCGTGACTCTCGGCGGGCGCAAAGATGGCGGGTCTGGTCGTCGACCGCAGTCTTTCCGGAGTCCATCTTGGTCGAGCGCAAGAAAAAAATGAATTAGTCTAGTGCGTGCGCGCTGGGCTTCGTCAACGGTGTCAGTGGCCAGCGGAATTAATTACGAAATGAAATATTCAATGCGAGTCGTCGCGCCTGCGAACGGCTGCACCCACGGTGGTGCAGATTCGTTGCGCACACGCTCCTTTCCGATTCAACCACGCAAATCCCGATGTGTTCGCTCAGTTCCAGCTTTTCACGAGGCTGTGGAGCAATGGCCGCTCTGTACCCGACCAGCAGCTTTCCACTATGATAAAACTCGCGATGCCAGACCAGATACCCGTTTATCTTTATTCATACAGGATACAACCCCACAAAACACATGAACATACCTGTATTAGAAGCCCTTGAGACGATTCTACCGGTGTCCGGCATCCATCCAGTCACAAACTCCACATATGCACGGATGCGATGATACTGATGATCCCGCTGGGCTGAATGATTCCCGCTGCATACCGAGACGAACCCACGCCGAGTGCGCACCTCGCACACCACCCGCAAAGGAAACCAATCAAAGGGTATATTTGTACTTCACAAATAACGCGACGCTGAAAGTCTCTTCACAAAAACGCACTATGAGCCAACACAAAGCACCCATAAGTGCAGCACCACAAATCAAACGAGAGACACAGTCAGCCACCACCGCTGTCTCTGCGATCTGCGAGCCCTTCCCGGGGTCACACACCAGCCGCACAGCACAAGTAATCCCCTTCCGCAAGCGTCACAGCCATCTTGGTTACCGAGTGTGCGTGCACTCCGGCCGACCGACTGAGCTGGCCACGAGGCCGCCTGAAGGGCCCCCAGACGGCAAACGGGGCCATAGTCACGCCAGAGCGCGTCTGCCGCCCGCGCCACAGCTGTCGACGACGCGTCCGCCGCGCCGCCGTCGGTCACGGCCACCCGCCGCCGCTGAGCAAGGGAGGTGGCAGCACGGCCCCCCCCGAAGGGAGACTGGGAACGGCGCCCGGCCCGCCGCGCCACGGACCGGCCGGCTGCCCTGGCTGCTCGCCTCTGAATCTGGGGAGCCCCCGAGTCGGCAGTGTCAGCCATCTCTCCATCTTCGGTGATCTCTAGATCTCCGAGAGCTCGTCGGTGGCGGCCGGGTGCGTCGGGGCGCCGCTCTCCGGCGCGATCACGCGGAACTGCGACGGCTGCTGGCCGCTCTTCTTCTCCAGGAGCATCTGCGGCTCCAGCTCGTTGCCCATGACGCGCACCTGCGGCCGGCCGACGCCGTCAGGCACCTACCGACCTGCGGCCGGCAGACCCCCCCCCCCCCCCCTCCCAGCACAAACACATGCCAGCCGGACGAGCGGACCACCTCACCCGGGTCCGGCGGATCAGAACGCCAGCAGGATCGAGTCTCGCTGCCGTGCGATGATCGTGACCACACGTGATAGGATGTCCACGAGCGGACGACGGAACACGGCGCCTTTGCGAAAGGCATGCTCAGACGGAGCCAAACTATAGCAAGGCGACGAGACGAAAGCAAAAAAGTCGGTCACATAGCCATGGTCTTTTCGAAAAACCACACATTGTGTTGAATGCAACTTAGGAGCATGCATCCCAAAGGTCACAAGGTTAAAAAAACAGTTGACGATGTTTTCGTCGCTTCCTATTCACACCATTATGAATCTATTGTGGCTTCCTTTTCAGATCTGTGGAGCTATCCTTGCCTCCCGTTTATATCATTCTAGAGCTATCGTCGCTTTATATTCATATTACGGAGCTATCATCGCTTCCTGTTTATATCAATATGGAGCTCCATCGCTTCCTTTTTAAGTCATTCTGGAGTAATCGCCTCATATGGTCCAATTCATCTCTATGTAGAATCGGAAGTAAACGGCCATGATCAAACCGGCTTTGTATCTCGCCGACTCACCTGCAAGAACGATAGCAGATCCTCGATTTCCGCGATCTTCTCAATCCTTTTCTCAAGCGGGATCCCTGTGGGTGGAAAAAGGTTTGAGGTGTTCGTAGCACACATGTCGACATAAGGCGGCAGGCTGCGTTTACACAGCCAGCCGGCGATATGTCAGCTTCACGTGCATCGATGATGGCCCCGCGAGAAACGTCCAACCATTTCACACACTGGCATCTATGGTACAGAGCAACTGATACCTGGCACCGGCACGCGCCACCATCTGGCCGAGCAGTTCCACACACCCCGCCCCCACCTTCCATCAGCCTACCTGATGGGAGGCACACAGTGCACAGCGCACAGCGCACAGGATGTCGTCAAAATGGGCGGAGGATGCAGTGTGCCAGGTGTGGCGGCGGCGATACTGACCTCCATCGAGATCAGCTTAAAGCTACAATTAAGCGGCTGGGAGGCCCCCGTCCGGGCCGTTTTGTCACACTCACTGTGCCCATCATCCTCCAACTATGCGCATTTTCAGCATTCCCACCCAGCACCAACCACCCCGCATTTTCAGCATCAGTCTTCCCTGGCTAAAAAAGTAGTAGCATTCCGTCCAATTTCACAAAACTCACCATTTTTCAATCTTCGAAACCAGTCCAAATATTACACAGCAATGCCACATCCAGCGGCTACTGAGCTAAAACTCATTCTTGCACAATATTAAACGCATATAACATTACCCGGGTACAAAAAAAAAATAAAAAGTGCCTTAAACACGGAGCCACCCAAAGGTCAACCATCAGCTGAACTCCCGTCCTGGAGTGCTATAAGGCCTGAGCAGAGGCGAGGGAGGTTCTCACCAATGCTCAGTCCTATAGTTTTCGCTGGCCACACCGTTCGTCGTTCGCTGCTAGCCTCCCATCCCCCTGGCCGGCGAGAAAAAATATCATCGTTCCTCTTTCCCTCACTCCTCGCCGGTAGGAAAGCACCACCGATACCGCCACCGCTCACCAGCCAGCAGGAGGTTGAGCTTGTGCAGCAGGTGGCGCTGGCGCTGCGACGCCTGCCACAGGCGCACCTTCAGGCTGGCGTGCTGACTGCGCTGCGAGCTCACTTCCGCCTGCGCCTGTCGGGCAGCGGGCGACGGCGTCAGACTGACGGTCAGAAGACGGCGCCGACCAGCCGCCCGCACCCGACCCCTGCCAGCTTGATCAGGCCCTCGACACGAGAGCCGGTCCTCGCGCCTTGGCGCAGGTGGACTTTAACTGGTCAGATCTGATTGGGCACTTAATGATCATGTGCAACACTTGAGCCAAGTTGGTAAATCATGGTACACAACCAGCTGATCTGGCCATGAAATCTGATATTTTACGTCCAATGGTCCTTCCAGCATTATTCACAGAGCAGGGCTCATCACATCTCTGGGATCACCGCGGGTCATACCCGTGCAGCACGATCCTGTGGGTGTCTCAGTTTGGTCTTATGACAACATGACCTTCTTTTGTTTGAACAATACCCCGGGGACATTCTGGGTGTTGTCTCACTTTTTACAAGGTGTAGCATAAACAATGCATTTGATCTTTTCTTACAGTAGTATACACCTTAGCATGCAAATCAGCTTTCACATGTTACTGTAATGTTCCGTCCGTTAACACAGGTTTATTACTTTATACTTAAATCAAACAGTTGCTTGCAAGGTCAAGCCAAGAAGCTCGGCACGTAGCCCACAACTGCCACACAGCCATCCGCGCCGCACCACACACGCAACCCAAACAAAGGGCCGTCACTCCACGCGCAGACTCCCCAGCGGTGACGTGACCAAACATAGAAACACAGGTGCACAAAAACAAACACAAGTTACGATGGCATAACCAAACACGGAAACACGAGTTAGAGAAACACAGGTTCCTATAGCTTCCGCTAGGCGGCCGAACAACTATGGTTTAACGGCGACTACGAAAACAAACTTCCAAAACACCTGAATGCTACAGTTACACACTTCAACAGGAAAACTATTTAGCTACCAATTTTAGTTACAATGCCCTGACAAAATAGAAGCATAGTCATGCATATTTCGCGAGTTCACAAACCAAGAAAAACAACACAATGTCAAAAACCATGAGTAAGTTCTACAAAAATGCTAACAACTAGCTATGCATCATTTAAGAAAACAGGTTATTTTTTCTACCAAAGATCAAATAATATGCAGCACGTGTATCTATTAATTATAACCGTACATGTTTACCAATGACAGGAGTGACAATAAGCCAAAAAAGATCAGTTACAAATGTTGAACAACACTAGTCTCAATATAACATCTAATTTATCTTCATGTTAGCATCCAGATTTCAGGGTTTCAGACACCTATCATAAGTTGTCATGGCAGTCAATGTTAGACAAACCAGGCCGGGGTTGAAAAAGCTGCTGAGAGCTAGAGTAGCCAGCCTGAACAATTATTTTTGAGCCATTTAGAATTTAAGTATGGAATTAATTCAAGTAATTATGTAATAAAATTGACTTGAGTCTTAAATGTCAGCAACCAGAAATGCACTTAATTCCATTTGGCTAGAATTCATTCAAAATGAACAAATTAAACTGGGTCAGATTATGGATGACTTACATTCAAAGGAGCTGCTAAAAAATAATTTTAGTATAATTAGAATTTCAGTATCATAACATAAATCGCACCAAACTCAAAAATGAGAATGTAGCACTCAGGACACAAGAATGCAGTTGTATGCACATCTCAATGTTTTGTGTAACTTGTACACCAAACTTTACTGGACATCAAAACCTTTTTCAGCTGCAGCTGAGCAGCTCACCTTGCACAGTGCCTCATCAACAATGCAAACAATGAGATTGGGGTTTCATGTGAATTGTAATTTGTGAACTACATAATCATGATCCTGTCACAGATGTGAATTACTCCAGGCCATGATTTTGCAAAAAAAATCAGACAACTGAGGTTTTTTCAGTAAAACAAGCTGATAAATTCCTGAGAATACAACACCACAGTTCATTTTGTTTTTCACATAACACTTATTTTTAGCATGCCCTGCATATGTACACCATATCTGTGCTGCACACCACCTCAGCAGAATCCATTATGACTTCAACACAGTGATGGGAATGCAAGGCAGCTCATATACTTGACTTGAGATCTCAGATTGGGTAAATATTGCTCAGATTATCAGCTGCTGATGGGCATGCTCCCATTCCCCCAGCCAAGAGGTTCGCAGTGGACACCAGATGGCTTCATTATTTTGTCCAATTCACATAAGTTTAGAGAAAAAAATTGGCCATTAAGCCCTCCCTCCAAAACAAATTTGGCTATGCATCTCTCCAAAATCCTTCATAAAAGCCTCACTAGGGCATTAATGTTGATACAGGTACTTGGATATGGATGCATCCAATTTGGTGCACGTGCATAGAGTGAATGGATGCATTTTCTAGGCCTGTCCAGGTTCTGGTAGGTGAACACCTCTTCCTATGCCCTATTTTCATTTATATAACTTACCTGCGGCAGCCAAAATTGTACTGAGAACAATCCAGCAGTTCAGTGCAAGCCATATTCGACCATTGCATGAAAAAACTTAACTCTGTAATCTGCATCGTACCCATACAGCCACCGGCCGCACATACCATGATTTGTCATCGACATGCTCATCTTATGTCTCTATTTGGAAATGATGCCATGTACATCATTTGAAGTTTTCGCTGGGCACGGGGGGTATTGCCTTGCCCCTCATTGCCCAACTTCAGAATGGGTATTGCCTGAAGATGGGGTGCTTGAAAGGCACAGTCATAGAGCACAGCTGGACAGCATTCTGTCTTGGCCGGCTTTGAGGCTCGGAGACCGAGGAGCTTCTGGACTTTCCTCTGGCCAGGCGGCGGGCACGCTGTGCCGCCAGCCCCGGCCTGCCAGCCGTCGGCGCACACCTGTTTGAGGACGGCGGCGGTGCGGCGGCGAATGGGCGTGGCGTTCTCCAGCCGGCCGAACAGCACCTCCTCGAGAGCGAGCTTGGCCTGCCGCAACTCCGGCCCGCAGGACGCCGACGCTGTGACGGTGGCGCGGGCCGCAGCGGGGCCAACGCGGGACACCAGCAGGGCGCCGGGAGGCAGCGGCGGCAGGGTGGGGCGGGACGGCGTCGGCTCCTGCCGAAGAGAGCGCGGTCAGGGACAGCACGGACGGCCACCATCGGCCGCTCAGCAAGAGACGTCGGGGGAGATGACGTGCACGTAATGCCTCATCGTAGAGCGTCTGATGATCACCAGCGTGCGCGCACTTCATGCCTGAACAGGCGCCGAGAGTCACATATCGCTCTGGCGTCAGGTCTCGGGACTGCGCAGAGCGCACGGCAGGTCGCAGCGACACTGGGGAAGCATATTCATGAACGATCGACCCACAGGCACACAGAGAACGCACGAACATACCCTCTCTGTAGCGACTCACAATCTATTGCAAACAAAACACCTGCCTTTTCTACGCAAAAAAGCCTAATTCGAAAGACAACGACGACTCATGACAAAGGGAGACGGTCATGACGCCCGTTCCGCCGTTAGTGTACCCCCCCCCCCTCTCCATCCCCCCCCCCCCCCCCCCCCCCCCCCACATACACAGAACACAGCACCAGAGCGCGGCACCGGCCCCCGCCCCGCGCTCCAAGCAGCGGCAGCGGAAGCGGCGGCGGCGGCGGGGAGGGGGGGAGGAGGGGGAGGGCTCACCGAGCTGGTCCGCTGCGCTGGACACTGTCTCCGCCGGCTGGGAAGTCGCTGCCGGTCGACGGGCGCGTCAGAGGCGGAGGGTCGACGCCCCGGCTGCCCGGGAGCGTCCGCGACCAAGGCGGACGTGGCGTCAGAGGCGGAGGGCCGACGCCGTGGCTGCCCGGGAGCGCCCGCGACCAAAGCGGACGTGGCGCCCGAGGCAGAGGGCCGACGCTGCTGCCGGGGTTTGTCCGCAAAGGAGGTGGACGTGGCGCCCGAGGCGGAGGGTTGACGCCGCTGCCGGGGTTTGTCCACGGCAGAGGCGGACGTGGCGCCCGAATCGGAGGGCCGACGCCGCTGCTGACGGAGGAGGCCGACGGCGGACGTGGCGCCGGGGGGCGGGGGCCGGCCGACGCCTGCCGGACGAGAGACACGGCTGAGGGAGGACGGCTGTACGGCCTCCCTGCCGACACTGATGGCAGGCAGGTGAACAGTTACACGGCCGGAGAGGAGCGGCCGGGGAATGACTCAGCCCATACGCACGCATGCCATAAGGTCGAGAAAAGCTCAAAAGGCACGAATGGCGCTACGTTGCCTCTAATGTAGCATCGCAAGGTGTGTAAAAAACGGCTCTATGCCGTGCGAGCAGACAGCAGGCGTATAAAATAAACGTGCAATGCCCTACGTTCACCCACACCTTACAACACCTCCCTAAAGCACCTCACCTCCCCCCCCCCCCCCTGATCAACTAACGAGATCCGAAACCCTCCTCCTACATCTCTTAACAGCCCTCAAAAACTCGTCTCCCTACCCGCCCCTGCCCAACCAGCGCTGTCCTGCTGACCTGCGGGACGCGGCGGCTGTGGGCTTCCCATGCCGAGCACGATCTCGTCGTCGCTTATGTCGGAGTTGTCCAGCAAGATGACGTCCAGCGGCGGCCGCGGCTCGGGCGTCGGCAGCAGGCGAACCTCGTCGTCTCCGTCGTCGGCCGCCGGCGCCGGCTCGGCCCGCGCCGGCCGCGGCAACGGCTCCACTACTATGTCCACCTCGGGCAGCGCCAGCGGGTCTGGCATGTCGTCGGCAGCACCGACATCAGCACCAGCACCGGACGCCGCCGCCGGTCCCGGCTCTAACATAATGGTCATCTGGCTGCGCGGCTCGGCGCTGCTGGCCGGCTCCGGCTCCTGCTCCAGCTCCGGCTCCGGCTCCGGCTCCGGCTCCGGCTCTGGCTCCGGCTCCGGCTCCGGCTCCGGCTCCAGCTCCGGCTCCGGCTCCGGCTCCGGGTCGCCGGCGCTGGGCGCCACAGTCTGGCCCGTGCGTCGATCCGTCGGCTGCTGTGGATCCACCACCGGGCCAACGAACGCGAAGCCGGGCAGGTGTGACACCCACACCACGCTGACCTGGACACCGTTGACGAAGGAAGAGACAGGCTGGCCAGTGGCGCGCACCTGGTGCACGGCGTGCTTCAGGTACCGCTTGGTCAGCGAGATGGGGATGCCGTCGACGTGCAGCAGCTCGGGCAGCCCCTCCAGCTCGATCATGTTCCAGCGCGCCGTGCGGCCGTCGAAGTGCGCCGTCACTATGCGGCCCGGCACCCGCCGCGGCGGCATGCGCACGAAGGAGAGCCGGGCGCCGTTGCTCAGGTCCCGCGACCCGGGCACCTGCGACGTCGGATCCGTGGAGTGCCGATCCGTGGGCTTCGGATCCGTGGAGTGCGGATCCGTGGGCTTCGGATCCGTTGAGTGCGGATCCGTGGGCTTCGGATCCGTGGGCTTCCGGTCCGTGGGCTTCCGGCCCGGGGACTTCGGGTTCGTGGGCTTCGGATCCGTACGCTTCGGGGTCGTGGGCTTCTGGGCCGTGGGCCATGGGACCCTGGACCTCGATACCGTGGACGTCGGGGCAGGGGCCGGCTCTGGGTCCGTAGACTTTGGATTCCTGGACTCCGCCGATCGGGATGATGGGATCTTGGGGTTTGCCACTTTGGACAGCGACGTTTGGCTCCCTCGTTTCCTGAGCAGATTCGAGCCCCTGAACTTGCGATCTTCGGGATTTGGAGGCGGAACCGAGGACGGCGGGGCCTGGGGGGCCGACGCCGGCTGCTGCCCGTAGGCAGAAGGCACGCTGCAGGCCGGTGGTGCTCCCAAACCATGCCCCGCACCTGAGGCGACCGGTGACGGGGGTGCCGGCGGTGCTCTGACGACGGCGACATCTGACGGCGGCGCGAGTCCTGCCATCGGCAACGAGCTTTTTTTGACGACACGAAAGGTCTTGACGCCCACGTCTCTTTGAGCGTTTGACGCCGTCGAGGAGCTGGGTCGTGCCCCGTCGCCAGCGGGCCCCTTAGCATTAGACGACCCAGCCACATGCACGGGTAGCCTGGGGCCCGTCGCCACCGAGGTCGGTTTGGAGCCCGAAGACGGCTGGATGGCGGACAAGCCACCGCGTCGGACTGCACCAATGGTCGTGGCCGGGCCGCCGCGCTCGCCGGCGGTCGTCGCGCCGCCGACGCCGGCGGCTTCCGGCCGCGCAGTGCCACGCCGGCCGCCAGCGGGGCCGGCAGCGGCAGCACCGGCTGGAACGCGGCCTTCGGCGGCGGCGGCCGGCCGGCGCCGTGCGCGCCGGCGATGGCGATCTTGAGCGCCTTGCGCTCGCGGGCGCGGATCAGCATACGCAGGTGGTCGGGCGCGCCGGCGACGCCCTCCGCCGGCGGCGCCGGCCCAATGTCGCCAGTCACCGTCACCTTCACCACGCCGGGCGGCGCCGCCGGCGTCAGCCGAGCTCGCCTCGTCACGCCCGGCGGCGAGGCGGCGACCCGCTCGCCGGTCACCGCCACCTTCATGACGCTCTTCGGCAGGATTCTCACCCTCGGGGGGATGTGGACGGTGATGGGACGCTTGGCGGCGGCCAGCCGGTCGCGCTCCGCCTCCTCGGCCGTCTTACCCTCCTCGTGGATGGCCACCACCTTGCCGTCCTCCACGCGGACGCGGATCCGAGGCGGCTCCGGCGCCGCGCCGCCGGAAGCGGCACGCTTCCGGGGCGACGGGGTTCTGCCGCCCGACGCATCATCGTCGGTGGAGCGCGAGCGCGCCGGCACGGCGATGTCGTTGCTGGCGGCGCTGACCAGGCACGCCGCCCGCGGCGGCGCGCCGTCTGGCACGCCGGGCGGCCGCACGCCGACCCAGCGCTCCGTCCTTGGCGGCCCGTCGTCTGGCACGTCGTCGGTGTCGAGCGGCGAGACGGCGTGCAGCTTCGCCGGCATCAGGCCGACGGCGTCTGTGATGTTGAGCAAGTGCAGCACCTCGGGCACGCCGGCCGTCCGCAGCACGCCGCTCGGCCCGGCCGACAGCTGCTCGCCCAGCACGTTCAGCGCGCGCAGTAGCCAGGCGTCGATCTGTACGTCGGGCACGGCCACGGCGCCCAGCAGGCGCAGCGCGTCGTCGGCCTCCTGCAGCAGCAGCGCCATGCCGTCCGGCTGCAGGCGGCGCGACAGCCGGTCCACCCTGTGCAGCACCTCGGCGCCCGGCTGCAGCTCGGCCTGCTCCGTCGGTCGCAGCAGCACGCAGCCCTCCTGGCCATCCAGCAGCAGCCGACCCAGCGTCACACGGTGGTTGACGACCAGCAGCGGCACGCGCAGCAACCGAAAGGGCGCGCCCTCCACGTCCACCGGCGGGCCGAGCGGGCCCTCGCGCGCGTTGCGGAAGCGGCCGCGTCGGGCGCGCGCCACCACGTCGTCGGCCGGCTGGATGCGCCACGTCACGTTCTGCAGCAGCGGCGCCTTGGTCAGCACGCTGAGCATGCCGTTGCGCAGCCGGACCGCGTGGCGGCGCTGCGAGCCGGGCGCGCGCTGCCCGGCCGGTGTGATGCTCACCACGCGCGTCACGGTCTCGATGTCGACCGGCTCCGGCAGCGGCAGCACCAGCTGCGGCGGCGCCGGCGGCGGCACCCAGATGCGCGGCGCGAGCGCGCCCGTCGCCGCCGGCGCCGCCACGCAGCACGACTCGAGCTGCGGCAGGTGCGTGAGGCGCGGCCGCGGCGCCGCGCGGCCGAAGGTGCGCGCCGCGTGCTCGTACCGCGGCCGCGACACGGTCGGCGGCAGCGGCCGCGAGCGCAGCGCCACGTTGCGGCCGAGCTGCGCCAGGTGGCGGCGCCGGCGCAGGAAGCAGGCGCCGCCCAGCGCGTACTCCTCACAGTCGTACCGGCCGTGCAGCACGCAGAGCGGCGCCACGTCCGGCAGCCGGTAGCGCGGCAGCAGCACGGTCGGCCGCTGCGCCAGCTGCGCGTACTGCCCGTCCAGCCGGTCCTCCCGGCACGGCGGCAGTCGGCTGGGCAGCACCGGCCGCGGCCGCGGCCGCGGCGAGGGCGGTCGTGTGGCGGCGCCCTGGCCGCCCGTCCACACGCCCTCGTATAGCACGTCCTCTTCGACGAAGCGGGCCGGCACGCGGCGCGCGCGCTTGCCGCGGCCGATGGCGACCGGCACGGGCGTCCCGGGCGACGACGAGGCCGAGCTGGGCGGCGTCATGTCGGACCAGCTCTCGCTCGGAGACCTCCGCTCTCGCAGCGCCGCCACCCGGGCCGCCCGAAACCCGCAGGAGCAGTAGAACATACAATGGTTGCCGCCGCAGTGCGTGGGCTCGCGCGGCGCGCATGTTAGGCTCTGACAGACGCAGCCCAGCCGGCAGAACGCCTCGCCGCACGGGGCCGGCGGGCCGGCCGCTGCGCCATCTGACGGCACGTCGGCGGAACTCGCGCGCGTGTCCGGCGCCGCGTTCTGCAGCTGGGACTGTGGCGGAGACCCGGCGCCTGGCGCGACGGCGGCAGCCGCTCCAGCTCTCTCAGGCGTCGTGTCGGTCCCCATGGTGATCTCGTGGATGTCGCTGACCATGGCGCGCGCCGAATCTACCGCGGCGTCCGGGGACGCCCGTCCCAGCATTTCAAGCTCGGCTTCGTCCGACGACGTGAACTCGTGCATGGAGTGGACGGAGCGGATGTCACTGTCCGAGTCTAGGTTCAGCACGAATTCCTCGTCCGACTGGTCTTCCTCCACTGATTCCGTCCACGCCCGACTCTCCTCGCCTCCCGCCGCCTCCGCTCCGCTGGGCGCCTCGTCGTCGAGCCGCAGCTCCAGCGCGACGCCTGCCGCCGGCGCCGGTGACGCCTGCACGCCGGCCGGTCTCGCCAGAGCCGCGTTGGGGTCCGCCTCACCGGATGCCGCCCGCGGAGCTCTCCGCGTCGAAGGAGCCGAACGCCTCGGCTGCCGCCCGCCGCAGACCCTCGTCCAGGCCGGCTGTAACGGAGTCGAGCGGCAGTGGCGGCAGCAGCATGGTCCAGCCGACGTCGGCGCCCCCCTGCGCCGGCTGGACGTTCGCCCGCCTTGGCTCCAGTTGCGGCTGCGACTGCGACTGCATCTCCTGCTCTTGCTCCTGTACCATCGGCACCTGCACCTGCTCCTGCTCCTGCTCCTGCTCCTGCTCCTGCTCCGGCTCTGGCTCCGATAACTGCGTCCTGCTCTGGCTCCTGCTCCGGCACCTGGTTTGCTCTCGTTGCTGCTCTGGCTCAAACTTCCCACTGACTGAGCCCTGCGGTGAGCGCGAGCCAGGACAGGAGCCGGGGCTCGCAGGCGCTCTCGGCTGCGTCGCACTCCGCCGGCCCGGCCGCCTCCCCGGCGATCCCCGAATTCGGCGTCGCCGCGTCGGAGCGGCCGGCAGCGGCCCTCCGGCCCTGGGTCCGGCCCCCAACCATCTGCCGCTGTTCTGGCTGCCTGACGGTGGCCGGGGATCGCACAGCTTCCCGAGGACTCCCTGGCACAGCGGCTTCAGAGCTACGTTCGGCCAGAGCCGCGTCGTCATCAGCATCGGTGTCAGACAAGCATAGTTCAGTATAGTTGTCGCGGACAGTTTCCAAGCCACGACACACGGGGGAATGCGACTCCTCCTGCGATTTTTCCTCCTGGGACTTTTCTTCAACCGCAGCGGCCTTTGCAGCATGAGCAGGTGACCCGTTTCTGTCATCAGTCGACACAGCCATGTCATGCGCAGCATTCTGCCCAGCAGACGAGCTGCTGCCACCAGCATCTCG